GTCCATCCTCTGTTAATCAATACAAAATTAGGTCATGATTATTGGTTTCTAGGCAACCACTAACTTCCAATTCATGCAATTAATTTGTCTTTATCTATCCTAATTAGGTCTAAAATAGATTGATTGTTGTTTGGTACCATGTCTTTCGCATCATCTATGCTTTTTACAATGGCTAATGATGATTAGCTATACAGGATTTCCAGCATAGGCCCCACAAACAGAACTTCCCCTGTAACATCACAGGTTTTTCCTTCCACCATAAGAAACTATTATATAAAATATATTAATGAAGCAAATACTGGTGAAACAAAAAATAATCTCCAGATGTCAGGAAGAAACATAAGTATTAAAGCAACAAAATAGTGCATAATCTCATGTTCTTTGGCATGCAAATAAAAAGACAAGAAATCTATTAACAGATAAGCATGTCTTGTTTCTAATTCATAAAACAATGAAAAGCCTTCAGCAGCATTCATAAATCAGTATGCATTAGCTACTGTATTTTTTTTTCTGCTATCTTACTCTGACATCCACTCTAACCCCTCTACAACTGTTGTTAAAACACTTTCAACTCCAACTTCATCCTTCGACCTACTGCTTTCCTTCCTTTTCCTTTGACTTGTGCTACCACATAACCTCCTGATGTCTAGCCTCTCTAATCCCCATCAGTAACCACTCACTATGCAACCAGCCTTACACCTCCAGAAAACCCCTCCAGGAGTCTCCATTTAACTCAACTACACCTCACCACCTGTGTAGATTATTTAGAAATTGTTTCATTTTTCAGAGAGGAAGCTGAGATCTTGACCTTGTGATTTACTTCTTGTTGCAATAATTTTACTTCTCCCACACCAAATGACTACAGATAAGAATTAGTTGTTGCCTGATTATCTGTTAAAATAGGGTTTAACGAAGTTGTTTGTCAAACAAGGTCAGCAGTTGACTGACCCTGATTACTGATTAAAATGAGGATTCTTTTTCTGCAATGTTCTATTAATAATACACAGCACAGAACTATTTGTATAGGAAAACAAACTGTAGTAGTTTCAGAAGCTCAAGGGACAGCTAATACTCCACCTGTCTCTACAAACATGGACTCTCCATGTCTTAATGCTTTCTTTAAGTCAGCATTAACAACCAATAGCCACCAAAGCTCAGAGAGCAAAGTTTAAACTTATTTTTCTTCAGACTGTTTTTACCATTTAGGTTTGACCACATGACTTACAAGCAATCCAGAGACAGCCTATATGCTGGACCTATGTCAGACAACCAGCAGCAGGGGCTGCTGAGGCCATCACCTAGCCATCTTGTGACCGAGTTGCATGGCCAACCCATTCTATCTTCGGCAGTGAAGAAGCAGAACGAGAAAGCCATTGCCTGTTATCCACTTCCTGGGTGGTTACCACCACTCTCTTCTGAGTCTTGCATTTAACCCTTTCCCTTTCTTTTGAAGCTTTTGTTGTGAGGCCAGCCAAAGTCCACTTTGAATTTCCGAGAGAGGAAAAAAATCAATCCTAACTACAAGGAAACTCTAAAAAGATACATTACTAACTTGGAAAGGAAGCTGTTTGTTACAGACTAAGACTGAGAGTTACTTCTTTATTTATTATAGTGAATACTTAAAGTTGGGTTGGAATAAACACAGGCTTTTGCTGTTACGAAATTTAATTCAGTGGAATCATGGGTCTAGCAACTCTAGAATAGGCTGGGTTTTGCCAGATACCTAATTCTTGGCACATTTGAATGTATGTGATTGTTTCTGTGCAGTGTCAAGGCCACTGACTCCTGTTTTCAAAGCACAAGTACTGTTCTCTGTTTTCTTGGAGAACTTTATGTCACAGCCTTGGAATAGTGTCAGAGTAAGTTGTTTCCTATACTGGCAAAGTTTCATGCCTATGATGAAGAGCAGTAAAATCAGAAAAGATGTCCTTCTCCAGGTTACCTTTTCCATTCCAAGACCAAGTCTTTACAATAAGGAATGTGAACATGAATTTGATTTAGAAGTCTCCAAGAAGACAATGTAAAAATTGGCTTTCAAGTTTGATATGTTACCACAATAAGGTGTTTCAGAAGCACTTCAGAACATACCCATCAGCCTTCTGTGTTCAGTGCAGTTTTAGCCATAAGAGATGATCTGCTTTAATTATTGCCTGATGCAGACTGAGGGATCTGGCTTCTACAAAAACAAATTACAAAAAATCCTATTCTTTAGGATAGGTATAGAACATAACACTTTCATTTGTGGTCACAATGTGGTTTAGGTTTTTCTCTTCTCTACACACATCGATATCCAGCTGATGCTAACATAACTGTACAATCATGCAGGCATTTTCACATACGTGTAACGGCAGACATTCTCCTGCACTTCAGTATCTTAGTTACTATACACTGTATAATCCACACGCTCTACAGGAGAAAAAGTAAGTCAATTCAATTATCATTAGCATCATTACTGTACTAAATCTAACTTTTAAATAATCACATAACTTTTTATCATTACATATTTTTGTTTATAATTACTACATTTGCAATTATCTACCTTGATCGGAGACTGCCGGTTTATGCAGAGAGAAGTCTCCCTCATGTGGAAATATGCCTACCAGCTGCAAAATAAAAACTTCATTTTGCTTCTTAATAAAGGTTCCATTGCTTAGATTTGCAGATTCGTTTTTGGAAAGCATCACTTAGTATATTCTTTTACAACATTTTAGTTCATTGGAGCTATTACTACAGTGTGAAAGGAAAAAACCTTTGGTAAGATAGGATCACAAGAATTTAAGCACATTTAAAAAGAAAGCAAAATACTTCAAAATCCAGCCAGAATGTAAGGGAAATTAACCTAGGCAAAATTCACAGGTTTGAGGATAATCTTGCATCCATCAGTTTCCTCAGCTTTCCTTTATAGCTGTTCTGAATACCATTCAAGATGTTCTCATATATGTGATTTTCACATATTGCATTTTCATGACACAGCAGAACCAGGGTCTAAAACTATAACTCACTATGAGAGTTAGAATCGACTTAATTATCTGCTTTGGTAAGACTACACAATTCATAAGTTTTGGTTACAAATATTAATGTTTCCTCATATCCATAACTACTCTGGTTCAAATATAAGTCCTGTCAAATTTTCCATTTCAAAAACCAATTAAGCTCCTTTATTTTCTCTCCAGTTTAAATGCTTTAAAAGAAAAAGCTACAGAAATAGTTTCAACTGAACATTCACAATTGTGTTGTTTTCACCCTGAAATACTGACATTTCACCCAAAGTGAATGCTTTCAGTTTTCTTTTGCTAGAAAAAGAGGAAGTCTTTTGAGTTGACCCGGCATATTTTCTTACTTTGTGGGTGAACAAGCAAATAAAAATAACAACCATTTTACAGCCATGGTTCAAATGTCTAAAATATATCAGCTAACAACCAAAATTAAAGTGTGTTCATATACATATTATTATACCAAAACCAAAGTGAGGTATGATATATAAAGACAATAAAAGTGCACTTGGATTAGCAGTTTTATTTAGGTGGTGTAGAGTTGGCTTGTAAGACTCATTTTTCCCGATCTTGCAGAAAAACTGCAAAATAATTCCTAGATTACTTTCACACTCCCATAGCTGAAAACATTTAAATCTCTGAAGCTTTTTTTGTAGCACCTGTGCATGCCACACTGCAAAGGAATAGGAAAATCTTGGATTGACTTTTACCATTGCCACTGGAGACATCTCCTTCCCTCCCTTCCTTAGATGTGCCTCAAAATAGTTCACAACCAACTGAAACCACTATAATTGCCTAAGTACAACTTTTCAGTGCTGGTGCTGATCTAATTTGGAAAACAAAGACCTGATTTGTGATCATTAACAGAAAAGAAAAAGTGGTGGGAGAACTGCCGAGGTCATAAATTTTGGCTGGTTTTCCTCAATGAAGAGAAGAAAATGGTAGCTCAAATGGTAGGTTTTTTTTCTTTTTAGTTATACTGTATATGTTTATAAATGATACAAGAATTTAACATGCATGAGAATGAAGTCTAAAAACATCACACAAGTATCTCTGCTGTAAAGCTGTCTGGGGCAGGTTCTCAGTCTTAAAATTTGTCAGGAAGCTAAGACGGAACCCAAACCATGATGAAATCAAACACACTTCCTCTCCATCAAAGACATTTGTGAGCCATCAATACAACAGGAGAATACAGAATAAGAATGAATCTGTTTCTTTTATTGCTGGTAGTGTCCTCTTTTTCCCCTCCAGTTTTAAAATTAGTTCACAAAACAGTTTAAGTGCATCTATTAAAAGACAAACACGGCATCAACTCCCCAAATTGATTAGTATTATTTCATAACAATTCAAAAAAGTTATCAAATTCCTCAGTTTTGCACATCTCAGGATTTTCTTCCCTGATGTGTCGAATTTTGTAGCCCTATACATTTTTTTAAAAATCACATTTTTATTTATACAATTGAAAAAATCACCAAAAAGTGACCCAATTTCCCTAGAGTGATACACAGCTAAGAGTGAAATACACTGACGTTTCCAGCTCATTCCATACTTACATGCCATTACAAAAGAACTATAATTTTACTGAACACATAACCCCTTACTCAACAGGAAAGCTCTCTGGCTTGGTTTACGCTCCAAGAAATTTTGTAGCATATCCATCCCATCCAAAGATCCTCCAGGTTTCAAAATGAGGTTTCTGTATTTCATCCCAGCCTGATAAAAGGTAAAGCAGAACGTTAGTATTTCTTATCCTGTGAACTGCCTCTTCTCTGTATTTGTTGCATATTGAAAAATCTACTCATGATTAAACACCTTCCTTTTTTCCAGATTTTCTTAATACCAAATCAGGATACACCACAAGTATAATCTAGATCTGCTGGAAGAACTTAAGAGAGCAGAAATGTAACCTATTCTTGAAGAAATCCTTTTTCTTGTGGCTTTACACTGTTTTGGAAGTTACAATCACAGCTCTCCTGGAAGACATTTTATAAAGCATAATACACACACAATCTCCACAGAACCTTCAGTGACGGATCATCCCCATGACTGACTGGCAGGAACGGAGAACCTAACATCCATTCTCTCTTAATTGATGATTTCTCTTTCTTTAATCTCTGTTTGGAGAACAGAGATGATAGTTCAGAAATAGAGAGATATAGCATTGAGGAATGACATGGCAAACACACACATACTAGATGCATAGTAGTATACATAATATATACAAACACATCTAACTCCACTATTAAAGTATCTTAAAGTAAAGAAGACTTAACTTGGGTTTCACTTTCAGGAAGAAACACTATTGCTTCAGAAGGAATGTATTCCTTTAAAAAGAACAAACCAAGCTTCTGAGACAACAGTAAGTGATGAGGACTTTCTTAACAAGAGGTCATATTTTAAAGAACATATTTGGAGAATTTGGGGCTTCTGAGACATGACTATCAATGAGAAAATGTTATTTTGCACGCAGATGTCCCAGAGACTTCTGATAGTGAAAGAAACAATGTTCTTCCTTTCAGTCACTGTATATACACATATATACTTCTGTCACATGTCAAAGCTATGAGATTACAAGACTACACTGCTTCTTGATAGCTGTACTGCAAAAATAAGCATAGGTCTTTTTAACTGATGGAATTCCATTCACTTTATTGCATTACCAACCGCATTGTCTGAATTAACAGCTGGAAAAAAAACAAAATAAAAAAAAAATAATTCACTGAAGCATTGCTAATACTTCACTATTTGTGTTAGTTTCCTGAACATCAGCAGCAAATGAAGATATTGCTCCCTGTAGTTAAAAGTGTTATTTGAGTAGACTTGGAGTCTTTGCTGTTGTCTCCCCAGAGCCAGCACATTGCTCAGTTCTAGGGAGACCAGAGAGGTTATTTCAGATAATGTGCAAGAATTGAGGAGTTAGAGTTAAGCATTTGCTGAAGAATTTTTAGAAATACAGTCTCTGAAACTAGTGTCTATTACTGTTGCTCAAAACAGGAAGAGACGTTTTATTCTAACAGGAAGAGGTAAGACAAATTTCTAGAAGCCCTAGTCATAATACCATAACCATTTTCCTTTCCTGCTGTTCTGAAGACTAGTCTAAATTTAGATACAATGAAATATGAGTAACTACAAAAATCACTCTGGTACCTAGAATTTGTTTATAAAATAGTTTGTCCCATCCTGTGGAACTCTATTACACTTACATGGAATGCAAATAAGGAAAATGACTTGAAGGAGAACCAATTTAAGAAGATAGTATTGCTCTGAAAAGGGAGGGAAAATCTCCACGGAGTTATCCCTGAGGTTATATCAGCATTCAAGCAAAGTGTGCATGTGCACACATATGCTAGAGAGCGACACACACACAAATAATTATTTTTCTTCCTCACTTCATCTGGATAGCAGGCTTCACATTCAAAGAGGCACTAGTTGCCTTTTAGCTGAACTGCAGCAAATATTCACTCCTAGCATAATCAAATTATTCTCAAAGCCTCCCACACACAGACAAAAAAACAAAATCCCCACAAAAATTCAGAATGAAAGGCACTTTCATCCCTCAAGAGAAGTAAAGGTCACAAAGCAATTCTGGCAAACTATAGCTTAGGGCTTTGACTCAGAAAAGAGTTTTGAGAGTAGGGAGTAAAGCTAACAGAGAAAAAGGTCTGTGACTACATTAGACACTGTGACACTGGACACTGACACACTGGTGTGCGTGTGTCAGCAGAGGGAACTGACACAGTCACAGAAGACTGGAACCAGCACCCTTATCCATCTCTCCCAACTGCAAACAGTTAAAAAACCCCAGCCAATGTGATAACCCCTTCCCAAATGCCATTTTAAAGACGCATATGAACAGCATTTTATTAAAAAGTAATTTTATTCTCTCATTTAACTTCCCATTTCTTCTCTCCTCCTCTTATTTACAAGTGACAATATTCCCACTGAATAAGCAGGAGTGCTTATTCTCACATGTACCTGTCATGAATCCCTACCACTTCAAAATCAATCTTGACCTCCAAACATTTTGTCACCTCTCTTCTCAAACTATTCAGTTCCCTCTTTTCCTTCAGTGAATCCCTTTGGGTTTTATTGGCCTAACCCACTGCCTCCATTTTCCAGCCCCTATCCCATCTCCTCTTTGGACTCCTTTCTTTGTCCAGGTCGAAGTCTAATCTTGTTTTCTTTCTTCACCCTCTAGAAGGAGGGGCAGTTCTAAAAGTTTTAGTTGCTGTGATAAGGAAAGGGAGGCAAATTCCAGGAGAGGAACAGTAAAGTCAAGCTCTCTCCTTCACTTCTCTCTTGTATAGATTTACTGAAAGGAAGAACTAGTGATAGCTGCTGAATCCAGAAGATGGATAAGAGGATCCGGAAAATCAGAAGGTCTTTCCCATGATAGAACTGCAGCATCTGAACTCACAAGTCTAATATTATAATCTCTGAAAAATAAAAAAGGTTGCCAGAATTATCAGGACTGCTAACCACATCACTAATAATCCTTTCTTTCTGCTTGAGGCAGAAGAGGCTGGAGAATTACACAAGAGAAAAAAAGCCCAGTAATTCTAGAACCTGTCAATAATCTCTTCAAAAGCCACTTTGGAGAAAAACCAAAGAGGGAAAACTTTGCGAGTTACGCTGTGCTGTGAAAAAGAACAATCAAAACAAATCAAGTTTTTTAAATAACAACTACACAAAAGTATCACACACTTGAGGTACTATTAATGAAAACAGAGCACCACTATCATACAGCTTTCACAGCAGAAGAATATGCATCTGCTCTTGCAATGGAGGAATATGGTTTTCAGTCTAAAATTAAAGAGGAAGGCATTAGTCAATGCGACACAGTATCTTAAAAGTGTCATAACATAATATTAAATATATGACTACATAAGAATTATATTAAAATCCAAATGCTCTTAGAAATTTTAAGATCATTTTATAGAGTAGTTATTTACACACTTTTTTTTTTCTGTTGATCTGAACTTTACAGGTACAGAAGTACTTCTTGAGATGTTATACTTATGGATCATGATTGTAGTAAATGTGGTTTCAGAGACAAGTGCAAGAATAGTCTTTACTAAAGGTATTCATCGCCTACCTTTGGATTCATTATTCCTTCTTGCTTAAAGCAGCTATAAAAAATGTCCATGGAAAACACTTCACTCCACAGGTATCCGTAATACTGACCATCATAACCACTTGCCAGATGTCCAAAAGTAGCTGGCATGTTTGTTCCTTGAAAAGTAAGTTAACATTAACTTATTTAAATCAAATGTAGTTATTTCTTTAACGTATACAGTACTTCAACTTTAAGAATAAATTAAAAAGGGATTTGTATCAATTACTTTGAAACTTCTAAAATAAAAGGTCTGAGTGCACCTCTACAGGAATTGGACGTATTCTGTTGACTACAGAGGAAACTCAATTTCCCATTTTAGGCTAGTTGCACATTCAACACAGATGTAACAGAACATCTAAAGTGGTGTTCACATCATGTTACTCTAAAATATAATCTGCAAAAGGTTAAGTTTTATATCTACCTTCATGTTCCATCAGAAGAGCTCATTAAGATCATCCCAAGTTTCAAATTAATTACTTCAGCTTCACAATGTAGATTCTTTTATAATAACTCAGATTTTTTGTATGCCAAGCATTATTGGGAAAGAAAGGCATGTTTAATCAAACCATTTGGACACACTATATAAAAGCTTCATACTGACATACCTGGGGTGGCAGGAATTCCTAGAATCTCCATACAGTATTTGGCATATTCATCTGCTGGGTCAAGAGATGGCTTTGTATGCAGTGCCTGGTCAACTTTACTCAAAACAATCTGACGGAGGGTTAAAAGGCCTAATTGTGTAAGAACATTTAATTAACTATCATCAAAGTAGCTGAAGTTTCTTTAGCACCTTTCATTCAAAGATCTCAACATTCATTCTAAATTATTGGAATTTTAACTATGGAAAAAATTTGGAGTTACGTCGTTTCCATCTGAATTACTTCAGTCACAAAAAGTTGCAAAGTATATTTTTAATAAAGGAATTGGCATTATAAGCTCCATCAAATGTTATTTTCCTCACAGATTAAAACCAAAACAAAGCAGATATTTTAAAAGCAAATTTCAGTATTTAAAATTATGTTTTCCGCTGTCTTCACTTCCAGTATACCATTTCACTCAGGGCTTGCACAGATGATAGTAAGTGTACCTACCGTCAGACACCTCAAAGAACAGCAAGAACTCTTGCTGCAGCTGCTGTAGGTTGTTTTGAAGAAGCTACAAGATATGAACCTTTACTCAGACAAAATGCTTATGTAGCTACAGCGCCTGTACAAGCCAGAAGGACAGGAACTTCTTGTTCAGGATAGGGAAGCAGTATGAAATAAACAGCAGTTGCTTAATGACAAATTGTATCGCAAATGGACAAGACTATGATATTGGGGGAGCCCTGATTACAGAGACAGAGGGGTGAGAGTAGCAGAACAACAATGAGATGATAGGTAACGACATGAGATTACACTCTCAGTTTGGAGATACATGTAAGGTGATACAAGACACGGAAGGAGAAGAGAATTGGGACCTTGGTTTGGGAAAGTGGTATATCTGCTGCAAAGGCAGAGAACATAGACTTAAGGTTCTGGAATGATAAGTCAGGAGATTGTTTGAGCAATGCAGGACTACAGCACTTCTGTCTGGGATATGCTATGAATGTTCAGTAAATTTGCAAGCAACTTTCCTGTCTGTCAAGCATCATGTGCAAATCAAATGTAGACAACGTGTAGAAAATCTGATACGGTATTTATGCACAGTGCCTGCCCTGGGCTATCAGAAAAAACAAACAAACAAACAAACAGAAAACCCAGGACCTTCCTCCTCACCCCCAATTTTAAATGAGCAAAGCTAGTAGGTAAAAAAGTCACATGGAGAGGAATGCAAAGGTATTTTAGTCCTGTGGGTAGCCTGGAAAATCAGAGCTGCTACTGATCCTGCAAATAGTGGTCATCATAGCCTTTACCAATGGTGGTACCCATGCAAATAAACCCAGGAAAATAGTGCTAAGTGTACACACAGAAGAAAGGTAATGGGCTTTTTATATTTGTCTTTAATGTTTCCCACCAATTTTTTAAAATAATATATTTTTATACATATACTGGAGGGAGAGAGGGGAGAGAGATACCTGTATTAGCCAGTCTAGAGGCAGCAAGTTTCTCGAGAAGAGTGTCTGCAACATGGCTCTCATCTTTATAATGTCTTGACATTTGCTGTAGTGGTCCTTTTTCCCACACCCAGTTTTCAAACATTTGTGAAGGCACCTCTACAAAGTCTGTTTCCACATTAGTTCCACTAAACCTAGCAAAATCGGTCTAAAAGGAAAAGCCATTGAATTAAATGAAAATAGAAGCCAGGATTTCTAGAAGAATATAAACTTTCAAATGCCAAAATTTCAGCATTAATCACAGCAAAAGGAATCATTTGAACTGGTCAAGAAAAATAATAAAAAAAATGTAAAGAGAAGTGGGTAAAAATTCAGATATAAGACTATTATCAAGCAGCCTTGAGTAGCCCAATCTAGTTGAGAGGCGTCCCTGCCCATGACAGGGAGGTTGGATCAGATGATCTCTAAGGTCCCTTCCAGCCTATGCCATTCTATGATTCTATGAACATAACAGATTATACTGAGTAGATATTTACTGCATTCTCTACTGGTATGAAACAACGCTTCAGTTTTCTCAGTATTATTGATTTTACCTTTTAGGTTATGACAGCAATATAAATGTTTCCATGCTGTCTTATGACAATGATATAATGTGTAAATGGTTATAAAATTTTGTTATATTACCCCAAAGTGAAATAATAAAGTTCAATTATACACTTATAAAATTGTTTATTGTATGAAGGTCTACTGCACTGATTCAAAGGTTTTACTTGGCCGACTTACTCTCTTAAGCTTTGGCCTAACTGCCTTTATTCATAAGGCATATGGTTAACATATAGCAAAATTTTTTGAGCCAGTAATACATGGGTTGAAAGAAATTAATCCTAGCAACTTTATACATGAAAGGTCTCCAAATCTGATACTCAATTACTGACTGAAGAACCTTCCTTCTGAAAGCCAAGCACATTATAACTTTTTTTACTTTAGTATCATCAATCACTTCATGTTTAAAAAGCCGTCTCCAGATACTAACTTTGAGGAAGTTTTGTACAGTTAAAAATCTTCATTAAAATATATTCCAAACCAAAAATGTTTCTAAAAAGAAAGTCACTTTTGAAAGACAGTTGTTTAAATGCCTACAGAAATTATTTAGTCTCACTCCACACTTGTCTTGTAGTAAGTCTACCTCCTCTTGCCAACCCAATTTCACTGCTCTTCCCTTCTCAGCAACATTCTAACAAAACTTTTCAAGTGCTACAAAAAAAGAGAATTTCAGTTTCCCAAACGCCATCTCTAAGACCTGGAGATATTCTTAGATTCCATCCTCCATCGGGGAATGGAAGCCCACAGGAGTACTGGCTTTTGAACTTACTTTCTTGCAGGGTTACTAAAAAGTAACATGTATAATTTAGCACATACTTTGAACTGACGGTTATGTCACATGCATGTATCTTCCTCTCATGTCTTCAGAAGAACAGCAGAAAAGGAGAAAAACATTTGCCTTCATTTGCAATTGTGGGTTACTCAAATCCATATTTGTAGCAGGCTGGCCCTTCCTACTGTATTTGCTGAACAGCAGCTATGAAGATAAGCTAGGGAGCATTAGCTGGGAAGAAATGGTGATGGAAGTGGCTAGAGCAAAAGGCAAGAGGAGTGCAAGAGTTTGTCGGCCTCCAGGTCTGATGTTCATTTAGCCATACAGAAGTGCAATACCCTAACAAAAAATACTGACGTTTGGTTCAGGTACTTGAATAGCTCACCTTCCCTAACAGCATAAACAGATACCCTCCCTGCCCCGATATCTCCTGTTCCAGCAGACCTCTAGTACGTTACAAGCAGTTATCAGTCTCCAAAAACTGACCTTCACCAGCAGCTCACAGATTTCCACCCAGTCCAATCCCCGCATACCCTTTAAACGTCAAGTTTTAACATGCTTAAACAAACCATCATATGAAAACAAGGTAGTGCTTTGCGCAGACAAATCCCAGAGGACAGGATGTTCCTACGTGGGACTAGCAAGTTATTTGCAGGTGCGCAAATAACAATTCACACAGAATACAACAGCAGTAAGCGTGGCAGCTGTGCACGCAGAAACTACCTCAGCAGTGGGAGACACAACTGGAAAACAGGCCTCCCTGACCTGTGTGCAATTCCACAGCAAATGAAGTACGTACGCATCAGAACTGTTGGCTTGGGCTGCCCAGAAGGGGCTTTGCAACATCCAGGCACATCCTCATTGGTTATCAAAATGTTGCGGTCAGTTTTGTACCAATGCTGAGTGTGTCTCATTTATAAACATCTTCTAGGTAGTTTAAAAGAAAGAAAAGGTTTTATTTCTCAATTTCTGAGCTCAGAAACACCTGTCTTAGGGCGAAGATGATCAAATAATCATTAAATTTCTACCTTCAACATGATGCAGAAATATCTAAGCAGGTCTAGCTCCTTGTTCTGAAATTTGCTTGAAAGTCATTTGTTTAATTGTGGATTTAATATATGGATTTCTATGTCTTTGTCTCTTTATTCTGCAGTCTTAGTCTCTAGGATCAAGGTCAACAATTAAAATCTAATGTGTGTCATATTTCTCTGGTTTTATTATTTGGTACTTGTTTATAAAGATGAAAGCAGGGCTACATAAAGCCTGGATTTGTAGATAATTATGCAGATTTTTTGGTGAGTGAATACTGAGCCTCGTCTCTCTCTGAAACACAAAATTTTCATTAGGCCAATAATAAATTTATCATCTGGCAGAATCTCAGCAATTTTATAACTTTATTGACATCTTAATGCAAAATCTGCAGATCAGCTTCAGTTCTTTCTGGTCGCTGTGAGACATCTAAATGTCAGATAGGAAAGCAGAAAAATACAATAGCTCAGGCAAGACCTGTTTTATGCTTTTTTTAGAATCATAGAATGGTTTGGGTGGGAAGGAACCTCAAAGATCATCTAGTTCCACCCCCCCTGCCATGGGCAGGGAAACCCTCCACTACACCACATTGCCCAAAGCCTCATCCAAACTGGCCTTGTACACTTCCAGGGATGGAGCATCTACAACTTCTCTGGGCAACCTGTTCCAGTGCCTCACCACCCTCTGAGTGAAAAATTTCTTCCTTATATCTAATCTAAATCTCCCCTCTTTCAATTTAAAGCTATTGCCCCTTGTCCTACCACTATATGCCCTTGGAAAAAGTCCCTCTCCAGCTTTCCCGTCTCCAGCTCCCTTTAGGTACTGGAAGGCTGCAATAAGATCACCCTGGAGCCTTCTCTTCTCCAGGCTGAACAGCCCCAACTCTCTCAGTCTGTCTTCACAGGGGAGGTGTTCCAGCCCTTGGATCATCTTTGTGGCCCTCCTCTGGACCCACTCCAGCAGCTCCATGTCCTTCTTGTGTTGGGGATTCGAGAGCTGAACGCAGTATTCCGGGTGGGGTCTGACGAGAGCAGAGTAGAGGGGCAGAATCACCTCCCTCGACCTGCTGGCCACGCTTCTTTGGATGCAGCCCAGGATACGGTTGGCTTTCTGGGCTGCCAGCGCACTTTGCCGGCTCATGTTGAGCTTCTCATCCACCAGCACTCCCAAGTCCTTTTCCTCAGGGCTGCTCTCAATCCATTCTCCGCCCAGCCTGTACTTGTGCTTGGGATTGCCCCGACCCACGTGCAGGACCTTGCACTTGGCCTTGTTGAACTTCACGAGGTTCTCACAGGTCCACCTCTCCAGCCTGTCAAGGTCCCTCTGGATGGCATCCCTTCCCTCCAGTGTGTCCACAACACCACACAACTTGGTGTCATCTGCAAACTTGCTGAGGGTGCACTCGATCCCACTGTCCATGTCACCAATAAAGATGTTAAATAGCACTGGTCCCAGTACCGACCCCTGAGGAACAACACCACTTGTCACTGGCCTCCACTTGGACATTGAACCACTGACCACAACTCTTTGAGTGCAACCATCCAGCCAATTCCTTACCCACTGAGTGGTCCATCCATCAAAACCATGTCTTTCAAGTTTAGAGACAAGGTTGTTGTGTGGGACAATATCAAATGCTTTGGATAAGTCCAGGTAGACGATGTCAGTTGCTCTTCTCTTATCCATCAATGCTGTGACCTCATCATAGAAGGCCACCAAATCAGTCAGGCAGGATGTGCCCTTAGTGAAGCCATGTTGGCTGTCACCAATCACCTCCTTATTTTCTATCTGCCTTAGGATAGTCGCCAGGAGGATCTGCTCCATGATCTTGCTGGGCACATGTAAAGAGTATTGTTCTCAAGAGTACATGCCAAAATGCTAGAGATGATCTGGAATCACAAAACATTTGCATTCCTAGGTGTAGCAATCTTTTTTTTGCTTCTAATATCTAGCATGCTTCTAGTAGCAAGAAAAAGTCTTCTGACAGCTGTAACAGAAGCCACCATTGATCACCTTCTCTACCTTACACATGGATCTATTCACTTGTCACAGGTACCTGCATAGTGCAAATGCAAAAGTATATATTCCTATGAAAATGTTTTTTTATTGAAAGGTGTATTTATTGCTGTAGTTCTAAGTAAAAACTAAAAATAAAAAAAAACCTCTCAGCCTGCTGCTTTGAAAAATAACCAAAAAAACTGCATATGTACTTTACTAAAATGAGAAACCACCAAAATAGACCTATACCTTGCTTTGAGACAGTGAAGAAAGAAATAAGTCTTACACTGGACTTGAAACATCACTAACCTGTGCACATATCTGATGCATTACATGACCAAATTCATGGAAGTAAGTCTTTACTTCATCATGTCGCAGCAATGACGGGTGACCTGATGCTGGTTTTGTGAAGTTGGTTACCAGAGCAGCTACAGACATCATTCTGCTGCCATCAGAGAGAAGACAGCCGGGCTGGAGACCGAAACATGCTGCGTGTCCGTACTTTCCCTCTCTGTATAAGAAAACAGACCAGACACTATCTTCAAACCACAAGCCTGATCACCAGAATGGCAAAGCCTATTCAAGAACAGGGACAATCGGTCAGTGACTCTTTAAAGCTTTACACAAAGAAATTACATCTCTTCATTATTTCTAAGACTCACTAAGTTTAAGATCTTGTTAAGAACACTAGGGGAAAAAAACCAGTACTTAAATCACCTCAGTTTAAGAGTCACAACAGCATTTACAAGAATCTGATTTTAACTCAAATACTGAATGTCTATATACTTTAGGTGTCAATTCTATTTTAAACTGCTACTGTAACAGGAAGCACTAGGTTCTGCTCTCTGAGGCAGTTATTTTTTTCATTCATTACAGGAGACAAAAGAATACAGTTTACTGCATTTTCAGTGTGATCCAAAAGTTTAAAGAAAAATAATTTCGAAATTTTTGTCCTAAGTCTTAGTAGTTAACTGGGTAGTTAAGTCAGAAGAATCTTACTAACAAATAACTTCAGCAATTCACATGATATGCAGAAAACAGGGAGCAGGCAAATAGGTGAAGGAGATAACATGTGCCAATCTTAAAAAGAAAAATTTATCTATTATTGTATTGACTAACCTAATTTTCTTAACCCAGAGAAGCCTTAAATCAATTCAGATTAAAAAAGAGTGTCAGCCAATTTATAAACTGCTAAAGAATAATCTAAAAAAAAAGTCAAAACAAACCAGTGAGAAACAGTCAAAAAGACTAGCTAAGAATAAATCCTGTCAAATCAGTCTAGCCTCCTATTATCAGACAGAACACAGATGATGCTGTATATTGCCACCAAGAGAGCTGAAGAGCTACAAAGATCAACTTGGAAGTACATTCCAAGGTGTGCTCAATAGGAATCTATTCTTGGTCTTGATCTATTTGGTATTTTCTTTAGCAGTCTGTATAACACAGTACTAAATACACACATAGAAGTGTAAAGAGGAACTGGGAGAAACTAGGAACACTTGGCAAATAGGAATATAATTGATCTGAACAGACTGGGGTAACAGTTCAATGGAAATGGAAATTAAAACACAGTATTACAGTTAGGAAGGAGAAAAGTTCATAGAGGCAAAAAATTACGGACAGTTGACTAGATAGCAAAACTACCCTAAACGAACACAGTAGTAATGCTTCATAAATCGAATATAAGCAAGAAACATGGTAGTACTGCAAAAAAACCCACAGCAGTGTAAGCAATCTGAAAACGGTCTAGAGGACAACTTAATAAACACAGTGATAGTCTTGTCAGTGAAACAAATATTTACTTCCAAATGCATTTAATTTCAACCACTCCAGCAACCCACTAAGTCCAATTCCATTTTAAACAAGTAAAACACTGTGTCATAATTACCTGGGGTACAGGTCCAAATAGAACTGCCCTAACATTTCTCCTGTTGAATTATCCTTTACTGTATAAAGAGTAACGCTGTCATGCCAAACATGAGCACTTTCTACTTGCTCAAATGCAAGTCCCAGCACCTTCTGGTAAATATTCAGTAAGCCTTCTGTAACAGCCTCAATTGGGAAGTATTCCTGCAGCTTTTCTTGATCTATGGAGTACTTCAGCTCTTCTGTTTTGTTCATATAATAATGAAGATCCCATGCATTGATTCTTCCATCATAATCAAAGTTTCTTTCCTTACACTCCTTTTTCTTCAAAGCTAGAATCAGTTCCCTTTCTTCCTCAACCAATGGCTTTAGCTTCTTACTCAAATCATCTGAAACAAAGATTGCCTTGGAATCAACCTCTGTGTTCCTTACTATAACACATATTCCTATAAAACACACTATTAACATTAAGCGCATGCCCCAACAGTGGATGGTAGAGTTTTCCATTTGTTGACTAACAGCAAGAAAACTGTCTGCTTTCTTATGTTAATGAGGTGTAATTGCAGACATGTTATAAATAATACAGGAGTCCACATAGGCCTAGGTGTACTGTGAAGGTTTTCGGTAAACTTAGACTTTTTCAAAGACATCAGAAATGGAAAGTAACACTAGACACTTTTGCTTGAAGCCTTTGATTTTATGTCACGTAATCTCAGTTCTCTTGATGTGTTTCTGCAGAAACAGTTGAAGACTAAAACTACTATTAGTTACTGGAAGTGCAACACAAAATCCAAACATGACTTTTTCTTCCAAGACTTTTCAAAACAGACTACGACCTACTTCTAGCTAAAGTCCTATAAAAAACCAAGATACTAAAGAGTTCTTGCCTATATAATGGCTAGCTTCTAGACTACCAAAACCAGTGGACGTTAATCTCTACGATCACAATTTCTCCAATACAGCTTTTCTTGGACAAGAAAAGGTCATAGCACTGTGAATCCAATATATTTAATATAAAATATTTAAGCTTCCTGAAACTCCCACAAAGTACTTACTCTCTTGTAAGCATTTCTGGACTACCATACACTTCTTTCTTCCTTAAGAATTCAGGTTGATGTTCACTATTGGTATCTAGAGTGTAAAATTTAGGAATTGCCACTCCTGTTTCTAGGGAGGCTGTGAGGCACTACATGCATTTACATGACTGAAATACTGTTTGCAGCTTGTATTATGATAAATTCAGAATATATTATAGGACAGAATGCTTTTCTTCCTAGCCATAAGATCAACTTATGAACATTGAATTAAAAAATGAATATATATGAACAAAGCAGAGCAAATCATACTGTCATGCTTGTAGCTGAGGATATATCAAAAGAATTAAATTAAAGCTGACAGTTAATTTGATGAACATTCTCCCTCTACGAGAATTATAATGAAACATTATATTTATGAATAGAAAAGTATATGATCTCATACCGTAAAAAGTTAAAAGTCACAACAATAACTGCTAAATTTGTCACCTTCGAAACAAATAAAAACCTACAGTATTATGTAAGCCCATTTAGATTTACAAAAATATAATGGAGAGAAAAGAGTCCAAATACTTTAAATACACTTAAAAAAACCCAAGCAATTCTAACATTTAATTAAAAATCAAAATTAAGTGTAAATTCATTGACAAATATATGGATAATTGGCATTGCCAAACACGGACCTGAGCTCACACCATAACAGGGTAAGTGTGACAGAATTACAGGTGGAAGAAGAGGCACATTTGAACCTCTTCACTGATGTATGAACACAGAGAACCTGGTACTGCCAAACAGACTTTTTTGCTGTACTAAATTATTTTGGGAGATTTATTTATACAAGATATCAATATACAATCCTAAGAGGTGTTAGGACGCATTAATAAAGGAATACAAACTATTCTGTGGAACTATATAATTCCAGAAAGTAGCAGTTAAGTCTATGCACAAAAGCAGGCCCACTGAGGTCACCAGGATGACTATAAATTAGTAAACTGCTCAGTTTAAAATTTTCAAGATATCTCTATTTTCAGATTGAATTTGATTAGAGGGCTTTTGAGTTCCAAATTTAGTCTGTCATTCCAGATTTAATTTTTTAATCCAAGATCACGGAAGTTGCATCATCATATACTGTAATCTTTCATTACAGTTGTATCAGAAAAAGACACTAAGGCTACAGACATACAAAAAATTGCAGCTAACCTAAAGGGAATGAAAAGCTGTAACTGTGACACAGCCGTTGGAACTGACAAATTTGCTTAGGCTGCACATTGTAGCCTGGTTCTAAATAAGGAAAAACTGTATTTTGGGGCAGAGAGAGACATAACCACTTGCCTGTATTTGCTGTCACAAAGCAGTTATTTTCAGATTTTCGTCTTGTGCTTCCCTGTTTTGGAGCACTTGCATTTGTACAGCTATAGTCTAAAAAAATCTGTGCCAGAACAGAGGCAACAGAGAGTTCCTTTTCTCTCTAAACATGAGGGACACTGTGACCCAATTATGTATTTAAATTTATCTTGGCTGAGGAGTCATGTTGCCACACTAAATACAAAAGTATTGTTTACAAGTAAGAACAAACCTAAGAAGGCTGTTACGTTATCCGTGCTCTTTGCAGTGTTTACCTCCAGGACAAAGTTGGCATGTGTACTATAACCAAGAAGCTCTGCTACTTTTGCCCTTAGCGGAAGCAACTGCTGAAGAATTTTCGTGTTCTCCTAAAAAAGAAAGGAGGGAAATTTGTAAAGTGAAACCAGAAAATGCATGTTATCAAAACAATTATCTGAGTAATATCTGTAATCATAAGAAACACCAAACATTTAGAATAAAACACTTTAAGATACAAATATAGAATTATGTAAGTTTAGCTAGGTTCTTGTAATTTTTTTGTCACAGCATTTGATTGTAGGTGGCCAGACTTCTAGTCACTCAGAGTCATTACTCTTCCTGTTATAATTTATCTGTTTTAATTAACTGAAAAATATACCATTTCCTTTAGGATAATAACAAATCTTTGACTGTTGCAAAGAGTTTGTTTCCTTTATCAATCATTTAAATGTGAAAGATAACAGGGAAATGGTGGACAGCAAGCTTAATTGCTTGTTAGTGAGGAAGACAGACTGCAAAGCTGTTGTACCAACATTCAAAGCTTGTTTGCAAATTTCCCTCTTTGCCACTCTGACAACAGCAGTCACCAAAAGAGATCTGAAACACAAAAACCCCAGGCCCTGACCTAAATGCGGTGGGTATCCTCAAGGAGCTGAAAATATAACTGTGTTAACCTCCAGTTCAAGAACAGTGACATTTCTCAGACACAAACCTTTTTTTCAAGCACTAGGTTCAAACATTGCCCAACAGTTTTAACAGCACATCCCTTGAGGCGTGCTGACTCACAGAGCATTCAGTTCTTAATGCCATTTTTGTTCATCATGTACTCTTCATATCTCCCAGCACTTCAAGTACAAAAGCTCAACTTTGTGATTGTTCGCTAATGAATGAATGGTTGGTACAATTGCTTCGACGACACTTCTGGTATCTTTCCTATCCTTTTCATTATTTTTGTACCTGTCTAGGCGCCTGGTGTCATCAGTATCAAACGAATTATTTGTGAAATTATTTCTTCTTTTTATAAAGCATGTTTCCTGCTATTTTTCAGACAACTAAATGAATCTTTTATAAAAACTAGAGGGTTTTTAACATCTAATTAAAATTCTCATCAATATGCAATGTGTTAACTACACATCTAATCACCTGTACTTCACAATTAAAACGTGTGCTTAGCTAACCCCTCTCATTCTGAAGAATTCCAAATACTACAGAAGCTACAATCAGATGTCCTTCTCTAGGAGGAAAGTGCCAGTAAGCAGCTGCAGAACACTATAGTGAAATTTGGCAAAAGAGCAAAATCCTACTGCGATTAACAGCACCACTGAAACTTTCAAGATATGTACATACACACACAGGCGGATTATCAACATTTAAGGTCTTCAGACATCCAGAATTAACTGGAGCAAGGAACTGTTAAAGATCACACTGATAAGTTTTGATTTCACAGTACCTGATGTCATGGTTTGATGTGGAGGGGGTGGGG